TTCAAATGAAAACTAAATCCTAACGTGAGAACCACTATTTTTAATTGTATGTAGTGCAATGAATAGTGTTATTTTTAACCAAGACATATTTTATTAAAATTAGCAACAAAATTTATATTAGCATTTGTGAAAATGATAGCACCATGTAATATTAAAAATAGCATCACGCACAATTAAAAATAGCATCAAATGAAAGAAATAAGAATGAACTTGGACCATGTGATCAACCATATCAACGGTGATGATGAAGTCAAAATTAATTAAAATAGTCAAAATCGTGGTGGCATAATTGTAAATAACTGAACATTATTGGATCAAATATAACCATTTAGGGCAAATATGTAATTTTGACCCATCATCAAACCAGTGGGACCCATTCATATTAATTGCAACAAGTCTCTCCTCTCTCCTCTCTCCCCCGTTCTATCTTCACTTCTCTGTCCCCGACACTGCCGGCGCTAGAAGCTCACAGGTCACGGCCTACCACACCGATTCCGGCACGCCACCGCCACCGCAACTGCAACGTGTCGCCGATCATGTCGCCGCGTCGTCAGACCGTTACCGCCATCCGTCCGTCGAGTCCGGCCACAGCATTCTCACATCGGCACCGCCATCCACCGTCAGCCGTCTGCCATCATCTTCCAATCGCAGGTCACCGCCATCCGCCATCCGCATTGCCTCCGCCATCAGTCTGGCCACAGCTTCCTCGCCTCGCCAGCCCATTGCATCTCCGCCATGTCACCTCCCCAACGGAGAAGTTGCAGATCGCCGGCGGCGAGAACCACCACCCTACCGAGCTTGCCCTCGCCTGCTGCCACTGCGCCCGTCGCCGCCACATTCCCGCCGTGCCGTCGCCGGCAGAAGGCAGACCACATACATCAATTTGCATTTCTAAAAGTTGTGGCATGTGTTTTAAAAATTTGATATATCTAAAGTACTTAATTGTAATTTTATAATCTTCAATATATTACAATTCAATCTATAGGTCAAATTTATAATTTATGAAAAATTAAACACTTGCACATTAATGTTATATAAAATGCACCATAGGATAATTAAAATTGCACATTACTATTTTTATCTCACATTTTATTTATTTTGATCGAAAAAATTAATATTTTTTTTTATAAAAAATAGTATTTTTTATATAGTCCGGTCGGTCTGGTTATTTCGGTTTTTAAAAATAAATTAAATAAATAAAATAATAAAACTGACATCGATCTGAAATAACTAAAATTTTAAAAGTAAACATATATAATCGATTCGACATAAAATTCGAACACAAAAAATTAATTTAGTTGGGTTTAGTCGCTATAGTGCAATCTGATATTCACTAATGTGCTATCCGTCTAGAGCTAAAGTGCAATCCGAAAGACATTAACGTGCAATCAGTCTGACAATATTGCACATTCAAAGTGCAATCGTTTTTCAATGTATAAAAAAGAAATAAAGAAAAAAAATGACATTAAACCAAAATAATCGAGTTTTTAATGTAAAAAAAAAATAAATCGGACTGAAAATATAAAATTTTGAAGAAAAATTATATTTCGATTTCGTGCAATCACCAAAATATAAAATTTTGAACTGCAAAATTTAGTTCAGTCAAGTATAATTGCTATTGTGCAATCACATATTCATTAAAGTGCAATTCGTCTAACTTTAAAGTGCAATCAGATATTGTTAATGTTTTGTCACAACCCAAACAAATTCCGAATCTAAATAATTAGTTTATTCGATTGACTAACCAAGTATTTTGATTAAATAATTTATTATTTATATAATAAAAATATATTTAGTGTTAATATTTATATTTCACATTTTATATTATTTGTGGTTGAAGTGACATATTATATAAAATACAGAAATCAATAATGAGCCGGATTTTTTTTATACAGTATAATAAGCTGGTTTTTTTTTTCTTTACGTGCATTTCAATTTTTAAGAAACTTTTAATAACGTGTATGTTAATAAAAATTATTTTGCATTTACCAAAAGATTTATTTCATGAATAAAGATATTTTGTATTTATAATTATGAAATATATGAAATATTATGAAACATTTTATACGGTACAACTTGTTGTGTTATAGGGTGCAACATATTACCGTATAAAGTGCAACGTAACATGTATATAAAGTGCAGCATATTAAAATTTGTGAAAATTGCAACCAAGTCCCTAGAAGATATCAAATTTTCATAAAAAAAACCCCCAATTTTTCAATCTAATTTCATGGTGTATCCCGTCACTCAGCCCCTGTACTAGCCGCCGTGAATCTCCCGGCCGTTCTCTGCCACGCCAAGATCTCGTGATCGGAAATAATGACGGCTACGATGGTGAAGGTGGACGTTCGGAGCCGTATTCACCATATACACATGCAGGAGGACGGTGATGAGAACTCCGGCATGGAGGATGACGGTGAAATAGACGTGACGAGCAGTGGCTGACGGAGTGGAGGACGACAGGGATGAGAACTCTGGCGCCGGACCAGACGGCGGCGTTAATGTGGCCGGTCGGAGCAGATGAGAATAATGGCAAGCGGGAGGAAGGTTGCGACGGACCGGTGGTAATGACAGCAGATCGACGATGACTGGCGGCGGCCCTGTTGCGGCTGTGGACGGCGGTGGTCGGGCGCTACCGGAATTCGGGCGGGTGGCGATGTCCGGTGGGCTGTTCATCCAGTGTATGCGTGT